CTGTTGAGACACCATGTCGTACATCGTTCGCTGGTAAACGAAACCTTTCCTTCTTCCCAACTGATGGTAGGGTTATGTTGTCGTAACCATGGCATCCCTAGGATTATCTCATGGTGTTGCAGATTTGCCACTTGGAAGGTCGCCACTTCCCTATGATTCCCAATATTCATAGGTACTTGCGTCGTATGGGTGATTGGCCCCATATCACTGGGTTTTCCGTCTGCGAGGTAGATCTGCCTTTCTTTCTTCATTTTCTTGGTCCTTAACTGGTATTTCTTACAGACTTCTTCGTCTATGAAATCTTCTGTTGCTCCTGAGTCGAGCATCGCATGTATCCTGATTGCTTGTTTTTTGTCGTCGTATATTGTGGTTTCGATCATGATATGATCATTGTCGTTGTTGTTTTTCTGACTTAAAAGAGTGTAATAGTTGGCCTTCGAGATGGGTTTGTCTTTCGGAGGGTCCCGCAGACCATCTATTGCTGGGGACCTTCGTCTTTTGCCACCGTTTCTTATTCGTCTTCAATATCGATTTCTCTGATATTGCTGTGGGGTTGGAACCTAGTATTTGGCTTGATATTCTGTTGACTCCTTCCTTGATTTGGGTTGGCCTGCCGTCTGCAATCTTTTATCATGTGTCCTGCTATTCCGCATCTTAGGCACAGGTTGTTGTTTCGTCTCCGAAGGTATTCGTCTCTTCCTAGATTGAGCGATGGCCTTTTCCTTGTTGCGTCCAGGTCCATTGCATCTCCTCCTTGCGTGGTGGTCCTATAGGTCCCATTCTGTTTTCTGGGGGCGTTTTGGTTAGACTGGGTTGGGGCTGGCTGGTTCTTTTGTATCCAGTGTAGTTGTCCGAATTGAATTTCTTTTCGTATGGCCCAACTGGCCATGGCCTCCGTTGTTGTGAATTTTTCTTTGCTGTATCTCCAAGCTTCTTGGTAGGTCCTCTTCAGGCCTTTCATGAACCACCTCATTGCTGTTGCTTCGTCGCATTCGGCATCGTATTGGAGAAGTCTGAATTTGTACCAATAATCGGTAACGTTCTTTGTCCCTTGTCTGATGTCTTCTAATTTGTTCCGCGCCGATTGGCTCAGTTCCATATTCATGAACTGGGCTTCAAATATGATTTTGAAGCTGTCCCAGGTTGTCCATGGTACGGGTGTCTGACTGAGCACTATAGGAGTAACCCACTGTAGGGCCGCTCCTTCGAGTAGCATTAAGGTGTAACGTATCTTGTCGTCATCGTGTTCTTGGTTCCATCCTACTGCATTGAAGTATGTGAGGAGTTGGACCATGAATCCTCGTAGTTTGCTTCTTTCCCCATCGTATCTTGGTGGCATTTTGACTTTTGGTTTCTGGTCTTTGTTTCTGAATTCCTCTCGTATCATCTGTTGTACTTCTTCTCAAGTGAACAGGGCTGGTCCCGCTGGGGGCGGTCCAGGTGGTGGTGCTGGTCCTGACATTCTTTCAGGTCTTGGTGTGTCTGGAGTTTCTTCTGGTAACGGTGGAGTGATTGGTTCTGGGGTGACGGGACTTGTTGATCTTGCTGAGTGTCGGTTTGCTTCACTAAGCACTTCTTCCAATCCTCCTAGTCCTAGACTGTCATCTTGGACGTCTATGTCTCCCTTGTGATCTCTGTTGAAAGGATCCGTGGTGTGATTGTTAAGTGTCGCGTTGTAGACACGTTCTAATGTTAAGAATCCTACCGAGTAGGACCTAGTGACAGGTAACGATACTTCTCTGTAAGGTGATAGCTCTTAGGCCTATGCCTACGCGAACCCGATAGTCTAGTCCTTTGACTACTATCGTACTAGCGCCTATCTCCTTATTCTTCTCCTTAGTCCTCGCTTAGGACTTTGATCTTTTCTCGTGAGAGGAAAGACACTTCTCGGGTTTCTTAAGACAAATCTTAAAGAGCGTAAAGGTAGGTTTTATTGATAATAACTTAAAGGTAGGAAATAAACAAGAAGAACGTGTGAAGAGCTAATACTCGGTGTCCTAGTGACCCCCTTATATAGTAGCTCTTCACCCGGCGTGACTCATACCTCGCGTCACGCGAACCCTGTGACTCATAACTATGAGTCATATGAAATCCATCAACTCCTATGAGTCGCTGCGCAACATGCCTAAACCAATCAAAACATAATAACCAAGTCAGGTGCACAACTCGCGTCACCTGAGTGAAACCCATGACTCATAGGTATGAGTCATGTGCGAAAATCATAACATTGTGTGACTCACAACTGTGAGTCACGAACAGGTAAACATAATAACCTATGGCGCACTAGTGTGCGTCATGTGAAATCCCAACATACCTATAACTCGGAAATCCGAGCTATATGAAATCTGCCTTGCTTAGTCACAGTTTGTGACAGTTGCGTTCCAACTTCTGGCACCAAAAACTCCTGCATTCTGAGTCATAAGCTTTTATTTTTGCTGATGTTTATTAGTACTTAGACTTTTAATAATACCTCAAATCACTGTGTTTTAAGAAAATACACTACTAATAGATTAATTGAATAAAACTCCAGGTAGAAAGCAGGCTATTATGAAGGAGAATTTCATTCATGGAAAGGGTCGCCCTCAGGTGAGGTAGTTTTCTGATAACTACTATCAGTGGGATTTAGTCCATAAACCAAAAGGAGTTAAGCAAATCCTACTGGAGCAAGGAAAATAGAATATGGAATACTATCTTAAGTGTCTAAAGACTCTGGATCAGTCTGGATGTAGTCCAAATAGTAGTTGTTATAGAAAGGCCATTCTGGCAGCTTAGAGAGACTTCCAGAAACAGAAAGGTCTTCTCCAAGAAGAGCTTAAGTCTAGGGGTTAAAAGGTAAGCTTCTATCTAAAATTTCATTGTGAGTTGAATCTCATTGAACCATATTGGTACAAGGCCAAGTGGTTTACACAGGAGAATTGTAACTATACCCTTGTTGACCTATAAACTACAATTCTAGCAGCACTTTCCTCAGTTCAAAACTCCTCAATTAATAGATTTTTCCAGAAGTTATTCTGAACAATCTATGCATATGGGAAAGAAATTCAGTATGGAACTAAGAGCTTCCAAAATCATATATAAAAATCATACTGCAGGATAGAGGATTGGTCGGAGTAGTAGACCTCTTTTTTCTACCTCAGTTGGCTCTTGTATTGGTTATTAATAGGGTTACACACATACAAATTCTTGGTAATATTTATTACCACCTACATATAAAAGATATCATCTTAGATTTATTATAACTTACCAATAATTAACTCAAACAAAGAACTGAAAACTTACTATAAGTATACACCTCTTTGGCTATCATAGTTAGTAGTTATTAAATACAAATCTGCCTTGGCTGACAAGCTATTCAGGTTAATAAAATATCACTCGGATTTCTGATTTACCCTGGTTGCAGAAGTCCCCCACTATACTATGTTACTTTCAACCATCACCCCTAGAATTCACCAGATCAATCGAAGGCAACAAAATCCTGAAACCTGGTATCACCTACAAGACAAATAGTTCACAGCTTGGAAACCTCCTCCTCTTCTGCCATCCACCCACCCATGTCTCTCCCTCCCCTCCCCCACATGCATCTAAGAGATCTTCTCAGAGATTTCATCTCTGCCATGATCTCATGTGACCCTCCTCTTTCGCTTCACCTCAGATTTACGACAGGAAACAAACAATGAGTATGTCTTACTTAATGGAGTAGAATTCCTAATGAGATACCTTGGATCATAATTGCTACTTCAAAGAGTCTAACAAACTCTGCAAAAAGGTGATAAAATCTCCTGGAACCGGTCTCACACTGTGAGGTACAAATTAACACATAGGTGTTTAGAATACTAATTGTTTCCACATGAGTTAAACAAAGTTAGAATTCATACATAATCAAATTGTTGTAAACAGTGGAAAGTTCTTACTGAATTCTTGTACAACCTGTGGCGGGAAACCCTACTAGAGTTTCTTGTAAGCAGTATAATCTCGTCTTGGCTTGCTACCTGCATATAAGCAGGTATCCACAATAGTATCTCCTTCATGTGCTGTTTCATTTTTGCTTCTAATAAACTCCTTGTCCTCATTGGTAAATCCCCCAAACTTCTCCAGTTTGAAAGTAGAAATAAATTGATGCTAGAGTTAGTAATCTCAAGCAACCAATTTGGACCATAGTCTGAATTAGAGGTCAGTAGTCTGGTCACCCCCACCTTGGCTTTGAAAAGCCTGGACCAGTCCAGTCAAAATTCTCTGCAGCTGCCAAAGCCCGGCGGTGCCCAGGCAACCCCCTGGTCGCATCTTGACACAACCTACAATGTTAGAGCTGTCAGATGCCTAGGGAAAGCCACCAGATTCCCAAGTAATCTGAAGATATCTATAGATAGCCTGTATGCTTTCCACTTTTAATTACTCGGAACAAGTTATTAGGAGCAACAGGCACCTGTATGCTTTCCACTTTTAATTACTCGGAACAAGTTATTAGGAGCAACAGGCGCCTGATGCTATAGATCTTGCTTAAGGTAAATGTATGACATCCAGCGATGAACCCCCGCTATATCCAAATAGGCTGTCCTACCTCAAGACACTATGCTATTCTTCACACAACTCTCTACCCACCCTAGGTAAATATGTATTGTCCGCAAGAAATAGTTAGTCCTGTTGAATAATGAAATATTTCTTAGTAATAAAACACATGTGATCCCTGGAAACATTGGCCGGCAGGTGACCCAGGCAAGGCCCGGCTTTAGTTTTGAAAAGCCGCTTTCCCACAGTCCGGCCCGGCTATCCCTGAAAAAGCCTGGGCCAGTCCAGCCATACTCAAAGCCGGACGGACTGACTGCGTGGGATGACTGGCCGGAGGAGTGTATACGCTTCCAGAGAGAGTGTCAGATCTCCTATCCGGCTTTGTAAGGAGTCAATCTGGCTTGCGTGGGAAGCGACGTCGCTTGTAAGTGATGTATTTTTTTCTTCAAGGGTTGCAGTTTTTTCCTTAAGTGTTGCATTTTTTTCCTCCAGGGTCACAATCTTGGATTCCAGAACACCCATTCTCCTGGGCAGACTTGCAAGGCCGAGTCCAGCCTGGTTCCCAACAGTAACTCGTACCATATCATAATCGATCTCAAGTTGGTTGTTCTCGAGGCCATCTTGGAAGGCCCTTTTCGCCGACTCGATCATCTCGTTGTCATCCCCGATATCCGCCCTAGTAACTAAAACTGCATCACACTGCTCTTCTATCATGCTCGATGGTGTGGAAGGCATTCCCATTTTTGCCCACTCTTCGTCTTTTTCATGCTTCTCAAGACGGTTGACCAACTCTCCCTTATTTCCGTGATTTGGAATACCCCTCGCTTCGCATTGGCTCTTAAGTTCCTTCACAGTCTTCCTGGCCCAATTTTCCGGCATGACGGTGAGTACAAGGTCCGACGAGAAGTTATGCAACAGTTACTCGAGGTTAACCAGCCAAATAGATTGCCAGTGTTGCTTATTGTGCTACCGGGAGGTGGGGAAGAAAAAAGAAGAGGAAGGTCCGCCGATGTTGCTTATCGTGCTACCGGGAGGTGGGGAAGAAAAAAGGAGAGGAAGGTCGTAGTATGGTACAGGATTGGAGTTGCCACCCCTTTTTGTGCCTCCCAAATGTCTTGGCACTAAGACATACGGAGAGAGTGACTGCTGTATGAGATGCGCAAAGTCGGACAGCACCAAGGTAGCGGGACTCCAGAGTACTGTACTCGAGTACTCGTAATTCTCTGACGTTTGTGAACACGACTGCTATTGCATACCACCAAAATCCTGAGGCTCCGGCCGAGTTTTCGCCCATCCCTTCCCTTATTCCCGAATTTCACATTGTTTTAGCACGTGGACTAACCAATTAGTGTCGATTTAGCTACCATCCGCAACAGTGAACCATTCCTGATTGATCTATTCTTTTTGGGTCAAGTCCACAATCCATAACACTAGTCTGTTCGAGTAACCATGACTACACCTACTACATATTCAACACGACCAAACTCAAGGAGTGATATCGTATGATTTGCCAACGGTCAGTCCTGGTGGTGGAATTGTGGTAGAACTATAGGGTAACCATACCATACAAAATAGACAAATACCATTCTAGCTCATGCATCCCAAACTAATCACAATTGTAAAACACTTATGCCCAACGCACCCTCCCCTTAACCCCCCCTTTCCCAACAGCCCATCCTACGTTATCTCACCTTCACCAAACATAAATCAACCTCGAAACTAGGAAACAACAGCAAAAAAGACCTCGTCTACCCCTGCCCTGCAAACGCTGTCCATACGCCCGCCTTCAGCCGATCCACACTCTCACCCGTAAGCCACAACCCCCGCTCCTCACCCATCCTCTCACAAAACATAAACAGGAGCTTAACCCCCTTAAGCCGATCCCTGCTAACCCCGCTAACACTATCTCTCTCGAGAACCAACCTCGTATCCACAATATTGCTGTCAACCCCGTCAGCGCTAAGTAATAATGCTCTCTCGGATTTATCCAGTGAGCTAAAGGCCCGTAATCCCAACAACCACTCTAGCGAGGAGTTGTTTGTTTCCGTCTCGTCGAGGGCTTGCAATGTTGCCTGGAAGACGGTGGAGGTAGATGCGTGCGCCGTGCGACGGTGGACGTATATCGTTTGCGAGCTACGAAAGGAGTCGAGATGTGCGGGGTTATTGGCAAAGTCAAGGACCACAGTCCAGTGGTGTGGGGAGGCGGTGGTTACTGAGGCGATTTGGGTGAGTTCGGGGAGGAGACAGGGAGCATTCTTGTGCAGTTCTTCGCCTGTGCGGAGGGTTACGGTTATAGGAATTGCGCAGGGTCGGTGGGTTTCCACGTCCCTGGCTACGAGACAGCGGGCTTCGGCGGCGAGGACCCAAAAGTGGCGGAAAGCCTGAAGGTGGGGTTTGTTGTCGAGGATAGTATTTGGAAACAGGGGGTAGAAGGCGCAGAAAAGGGAGGCAACGGCAGTATTTGTGGTGCCAAAGGTGAAGGAGCCATTGCCTAAGAATAAAGCACCGATTGCAAGGTGAGAGGCTACATGACTTCCGTATGGGGTATCGGCGTCAACACGGCCATGGAGCTTTCTGAGTCGCCGGAAAACGATAACATCGCCTGTGCCAGCCATAACAATGGAGGCGGCAAGTCCTACAAGATCCTGGCAATTCCTCACAGTTGCCCTAGTTAGCCGTTGATCATGATTCAACGCTGTTATCTCCGATTAGCTTCATTTCACTTTATTAAACTGTTTGGTGGTTCGTGTAGACATACCAGATAAACAGCAAAGCCTGATGAACTGGTCCAAATAATGAACTAGCACGTTTCTCGCACTCTCGTCTCCACTCCCCGCGTATTTCAGTGCAATACAAAAGCACAGTCCGGCAATAATATTGAAAAATGGCAGGTCTTCGCTGTCGAGTTCCCATATATTATCAAGTTTGTAACGCTCCCTCAAGAAAGGTCGCAAGCTAGTCTTGATCCATCCAAAGCTACCATCAATACCATCCCACATGATTAGGTTCTTGGCCACCGTTCTAAGCAAGAATATGTCGGGCCGGACGTAGTCAAATAGATGAATTGTATCGGGAACATCGATCTTTCTAGCCAATGCCTCGTCGTTGGTTTTCATATATATCAGTGCCAATGCCACAGTTGCCCCCGCGGTAGCCTTATCTAGCACGTGGACCTGTGAGACCTTCTTGCTGCTCACAGCCAATCCCAGCAATCGCTCCACAAGGTTCATATCGTGTAATCCCCTAAGGTCCTTTCCGGATCCCAAGTTGATAAATCCAAGAGCGAACCCTGCCGCAAGTCTGTAACCTTCATCCCTCAGGGTATCCGTAGGAACACAATTGTCGAGGATCTCCGCGAACTCAATCTCGCTGAGCATCACTTCGCTCATCCTACGGTGTTGAGAGCCACAATACAGTAGTCCAATCCCCATGATGCCTGCGGTCTGTGTGAGAGGACTCAAGTTAAGTTCCGCACTCCCGAGTGGCAACAGTCTTGTTACATGAACCGAGAGAAGCTTCGTGATCGTAGTATCCATAGTCCCAAGATAACTCGCGCTAAGGCCTAGGAGTAATCCTATTGACACCATAGTATGTTTCGGCGTAAGATAGTTGAAAGCATGCCATTTTGCGATGCTCTTCAAATGCCCGTTTAAGCCAAGGCCCAGCAAGAATCCAGCGTGTCGATTGGTCAGCTCATTAGGCTTATTAAAGACAATCCAGCTGGTATCTATCTCTTTGGCTTCCCTGGAAATACTGACTCCCGCCGCAACACCCGCATGGAAAAACGCCCAGCAAACCTTTTCCTCACTATAAGTGCTTTTATCTGCCGACACCGTCGTTCCGCTTGGCTTCATAACAGTCGAAAGATTAAACGCTGATATCGGGAATTTCTCTGTTAGTAAAGGTACTCTTGCAGAAAAATTGAATAACCCTCTCCCCGGAGGCACAGCCAAGGTGCGGACTGCTACATGCTGTGAGAGCTCCTTTTGTGCATTCAAAGTATCCTGTTCACTCCAGTGCGGTTCAGGTATACACTTTGCGATAGCAGGCTTGTTGGTTGCGAGTAGCCTTGCGGCTTCTGCCGTGCGTCGATCCTCCTTGAATATTAGTCTTGAGACTGATAACCGATCATGCTCTGCAAGGTGATCGTAAGACCCTATGGTTTCGTTTTCAAAAGTAGAATTGCAAATATTATGGACATCTCTCATCGCTTCGTGGGTTGGAGCCTAGCGAAAAGTGAGTATCAAGACATATGATCAGGGATTCTGAGCACTTACACTTTGCCACTTTGTTCCTCCTTCTTTCCTGCCCTTCCCCGGCTCAATCAACATTCTTAAATCTTTCCTGCCGACCAAGTCCAACGCTTGCACCCCCCAGGTAGTCGGCGGTTGTTCTTGGCATCTTGCAATAGCCTCCCGAAGTGGCACAGCAATCCCCTCCGGAAGCCTTTCTAGACTCGCAGCATTCATTTTTAACTCAACCATACGGGAAACGACATCCACATCTGTAGCACCTGGAGTGGTCAGAGTTGTGTATATCTCAGTGACATTTCGTGTTCTGGGTGTAAGCCTCGCAAAAACGCGTTTTTGTACCGGCTGTGCCGGAGGAAGTGGCGGTGGTGAGAAGGGATTTCTGGCACGAGAAGTGCTCTGCGATGTTGAGTATTGACTTGACGCTGACGAACCGGAGGACCCGACAATGTCCTGTAATGTCATGAATGGCATCTGGGTGCTCCCATCTAAACAACCAATTAACCAGTCATATATTGAGGGCATCCGGAAAGGCTGTTGAGGAACGTCGGCGATAGTTATTGGGGCTAATAAGTTAGCAAAATCCTCCTTGTATGCTTGGATGGACGTCTTCTCATTACATTCATCATAAACCCATCCCAGCATCTCGAGGTCCTCAAGAATGTACTCTTCAACCCACTCCGACCAGCCCAGCCAGGTGGCCAACTGCCTCAGTAACGGGCAAAGCCGTCTCCCAGCGCCCTCCATAGCAACATCTAATTTCCACTCCTCCCGGATCAATTGCAGTGCTACAAGCAGCACCGCCAGCCCATTTCTGCGAATCTCGTCAAGAGCTTCACGGCTCCCAAAATATTCATCTTCAACGGCCTGTCCCATTGGAGTCTTCAGGAACTCTCTTGCGAGCGATATACACTCTGTAAAAAACTTATTCATCTTCCGCTGCTCAGGAGCACTAGCCAGTGCACTTCTCGCTTTGGTAGGGCTAGCTTTCACAGGAGGTCGACTAGCTTGCGAGAGAATCCGCTCGTCGTCTTCCCCCACCATCCAGCCCCATGCAGCTGACCTCAAATATTCTGGAGCACTTCCCCATTCACCCTCACTACTAATCATATCCTCCCATTCCTTCGCAGCAACGATACTAGCGCTTCTAACAAAACCTGCGCTCTTCCTCTTTAGCACTGCCTTCTGCTCTGGCACTGATGGGACTGAAAGTAGAAAAATCGTGATCACGAACGCCCGCCACTCATCCATCTCCGGCACTTTTCTGGGGCCGGGTGATGCCCCGGTCACAGATGGTAAATTGGATTCAGGGTGCTCATTGACGCTCAGCCACTTTGCCACCTCAACCCAAGCTCCCCACATCCCTTCTCCCGCCACTGCCCCATATGAAGCCCCAAGTATAACCTTTACGGTTTCCAAGCAAGTTTTGACTAGGGCCTCTCTTGGCGCCATCGTGACACCCACTCTGTGGCCTACGCCGTCTCCGTCAACGACCGTCACTCTTCCTCCAGCTTCACTATATTCGAGCCTCTGATACCTATCCGGGCTAGTTGAGAGAGTTCTAGCAAATCCTTTCTTTCGGCTACCTCGCCTGCTCCCATCTTCACCCACCACATTAGTGTTCCATCTGGCCAAGGTTGGAGGTAAAACAACTCGGATACTAGGGCCCCAAGGGGAATAAAGATACAATTCTCCACCATCAGTAAGTATCAGGACACGCGAAACCCCATGATCATCCATTTTGATAGCATCAAGAACATTATACCGCGTCTCGGTTTTAGAGAAAACAGGCGTATAGCCAACACCAACGATACCATACTTGTTCATCGACTTCCGGCTATACCCTTTGGGCATCGAGGGGTATATTTGAAGTGTAAAGGTAACTAGCAGCAGAACTCCTTCATCAGGGTTCATAATGCAAAGCACAACCTTTCTCCCACCATTATCCTTCCCTACAGCGGCCGCTGCCGTTGATGCGCTAGAAGCGTGCAAGGTAAACACTCTGGGTATTTTACGTGTTGGATGGCTTGCTTGCGAGTTTGAGGAGCCTCTGAACATGTATGTATCCAGCTTGCTCATGAAGACTTCGTTTCGCAAACCTTCTCCATCGTAAATTCCTAGGCCGCCCATTCCAATACCCAACGCACCCATGTTGAGCTCGTTCAACAACTCATCCACCGGCTGGTCGTTATCAACCAGCATAGAATTCGCTGGTACAGCAGGAACCGGTGGGGCACTAAATGAAGCGCCAATTGAACCAGAAACATCGGAAAACCTTCCTCCCCGATCGTGGTTACCGGATAAGTCCGCCCGAGCAACCAGAGATGACACTCGGCGACTGGTTCGTTTCCCTCCGGTCTCAAAGTCATCACCCAATCCGGGAAGCGAGCTCGCATCGGATGGCCCTAGCGACTCCCGGGTGCCTGCCACCGTCCCCGCAGACGTGATAGAACCGGGACCTCCACCAGCCACCGGTGTCGTAGCACCCGTCCCTGGGCCAAAGGAGGATCTACGACGAGCTGAAGCAGTCCCAGAATTGGCGCTAGGTGTCCGTCGCTGAGTATTTGTGGGAGGCTCTTGAGGGATATATCGAACACTCCATACCGTTATCTGCGCTTTCTCCGGATTTCTGGTAACAGCAAAAATTACCTCCGGGCTGCCATAGGCAACCGGATTCCCAGAAGCATCTTCTGACGCGGGAAACTCTAACTCTGAAGAAGGCGAGATGAAAATCAATTCCTCGGCAGATGGAGTGTTTCCGGGAGATACGATCAGTCCAACCTCCAACAATGGATCCGTTAAGGAGAATAGTCTAGGAGCGTCCTTAACGGTATTAATCACTGGTCGAGCACTAAAACTATTCCCCGTAGAAAATCCCGGTATTGGTGGTGAAACCGAGAGTGCTGGCGGTCTTCTCTGCAGAATTAATCCTCGGGGGGCCGGCATAGCGTGCTCAACCTCAAACGGCAGATGAATAACGTGACTCGTCCCGGAAAGAAAATAGACAAAAGCCTGAGTCTTCAGTAAAACCACCAGTGCTCTTGCTCTCCCCTGCGACACGATCTCATCCTCCGTATCGTCGGGTGTAGACGTCGCTCCACTTGTCTCTCCCCCTTTCGCTTTTGGAAAGCTCCCCAATTGTGCAGCGTATGTCCTACTCTTTGAGTTCCACGTGCTCATCCGTTTCTTATTCTGCCCTCCAGGCAACCAATCCTGACTCTTCCTCTTATTGCTTTCCCCACCGCCCATGACATATGTACCACCATCATCCGGCGTCAAGGACCCTTGGGGGTGAACAACCGCATCCTGGGGATCATCGGAGGGAAACCAGGTGAGTACCGCCTGGACTACCGGTTCCCCCTCGACATCGTAGCGAAAAACACGCCGTATTACTCCGCCCTGTGACCAAATTACAGCAGACCCGGTGATTAGGAGTTCTTCATGAGGTAGGCCGGAGGACCAGGTGTAGGAGTCCGGTGGAGGAGGGTCGGGAAGGAGGGATTCGGTAATGCAATACGGGAGCGCAGCGGGGGTGTGTAATCCAAGAGAGGCAATTCGAGACATACCGCCGGGCCCTTAAAATCGCCCTATCTCGCAGTCAATAACTCTGGGTTGTTGTTGTGGTGCTGGTAATACGGCGGGGTTGGCGGGGAGCTTACAAACAAACAAGGGAGCGCACACACAACTTCAACAAACGTGGTATGATATGGTATTCAAGAGAGGGATTGGAAAAAAAAGGGCTTGGGGATCAGCTCACTCCTAGTATGACACAAGCTCATAGTTGGCGGAATACCTTTCATCCAATTAACCCTCCGACGGTAATGTATCATAAGGGAAAAGTGGATTAAAGGAAAACAATGGGAGGAAGAGGCTCTCCGGGTCCCGTTGCAGGCCTGGCTGACACGTGACATGCCACCGAAAATGCGGCCCGTGACCTCGCGCAGTGAGGATGCCTGCCTTTACCATACTCGTAGACTATGTACCGGTATTCCACCCCAGTACTGCATCGATACAATCTACGATACTATCATAATATTACCGTATCTACTCGAGTACAATTGTGTATTTGCCGAGAACTCTGAACTAAGTCAGGCAATCTATAGTGGAGTCGCTTATAAGATTCTTCTTACTTGTATCATACAATCATTATAGCCTGCATAGAACACTTTTTCTAGCCAGAACCCATCGCCCACCCGAGCATCTGCTTACAAACACCCGGGTTCGACCCCTATCATGGAAGACATTTCACAGTTCTCAGAGCCTACACAGGGTTACAGGGATAACGGAAATTTACTCAAGCATGCCACGATACTGAGAACTGTTCGCCTCCGGACAAGACAGAGAAAGCCCACCATTCGGAATACATGCCGCTAAACTACATTGCAGAATTGATGAGACCTAAGCACAACCCTTGATACCCGAAACAAGTATATAACACAAGCAAGAGGAAAGAAATACAGCCAACAGCTTTATGCCGGGGACTCCTGCATAAATCCCACTTTCCTCTTCCCCTTTCCGCCAACAACACCTCTCCTGGTTGGATTCATCCCCTCGGCAATTTTAGCTCCGGCCTCAGTAGGTTTAGCAGTCGCATCCAATTGCTCATCCGTCTTGCCATTTCCGGATTCCCCGACATCGAGAAGGACGAGACGGCAACTAGTCGCCAGGAGCACCCGGGCAGTCCTGTTGTGCTCTGCATCCCCAGTAACCACACTCAAGTCCCCGACCTCAGCACCCCTAGTATCCCAGCCTTCAAGAACCAAAAACTCCTTATCAACCTTTCCATCCTCACCGCTCCATGCGATACTATTAAAACTGCCTGATCCAGCGCTCACATTTTGCGCGGCCCGCTTCTTTATCTTGACTTCCTCGGCTTTCCAGAATTTCTTCAAGGAGGGGAGAATCAGGATTACACTGCCGAAAACCATCGTGACGATCTCGTCGTAGATCTGAAGACTTCCCATTGTCGTTGTAGACCTGCCCTTAACAAGCGTAGCTTGATTTGAGAAGAAGTTACTTGCGCCAACTGGCGCGACACATAATAGTCCCTTCAGGCCAATCCTCTCCTCAGGCTTTAGGGATCCGCTGCAGCGACGTCGGCTAGTTATGCTTGCACCCCCCGAGGCGACAGACGAAGCTCTGAGAGAGGGACTGCGGCCGCTAACCTCGCTGACGCTCTCGTCGTGATTTCCGTGACCTGATTTTTTGTTGTTATTATACCAGGTCTCTCCGACCATACCTCCGACAATGAAGCCTGTGACGACGGAACCGGTCTCCTGTCCACCAGATAATACGCCTTCCAAGTCCCAGATCCCCCATTCACCGTCCTCACAGAGCACCACCACACTCCGTCCTCCAGTGCACCACTCCGCCCCTAGAACCTTTTTCCGTCGCTCGGTAACCTGGGAATATTGTGTGTAAAAGCTACATAGCCATGTCTTGGTCCTTGTATCCAGGATCCTAACAGCGCCTTTCCGGTCCGAGAGAAGTAAGTGATGTTTGCGAAGTAGTGAGTGTGCTGAAGTGCTGAAAGCAAGGGAAGTAATTGGCGATTGTAAGAACATCGTAGTCGGTCGTGATGTCGGCCTAAAGCTAACGGGGGCCAGAGAGCCGCGTACCGGAGGAAGAACGGATATGCGCCAGAGCAGAAGAACACCACTGGTGTCTACTGATGAAGAAGCGATGACAACATCGTAGCCACCAGGCTTATCCGAGAGCCGCGAATCGTAAGATACATCATCAGAGTCCGGGTGGGCGAAGTTAAATTCATCGGAAGGCGTTGGGAGAACAGACAAGGACACACATTCGGCAGGCTCACGGTGGCCAGATACCCCACCACCTAAAACAACAATATGCTCGCGTCTCTCGTAAGAAGAGGAAGGGGGCGCGAGTGGCAGCGTAATAAGACGAATCGTACGGTCACCGCAGGCCGCTACAATCAGCATATTCCTGTATAATAGCTTTTCCGCAATAAACTCAAGCTCATTCTCCCGATCGTCGATGTCCTCAGTTGGCCCTTCGGTAGGCAAGATCGAGGCCGGTGGGAAAGAAATGGAGTTCACGGAAGTGCCCAGGTGAATTGTGTATTCACAAGCAAACGCTCCTTCCTCAAGCTCATCCTGCGCCTCTCCAGACTGCTGCTGGTGATCGTCTAAAGCCATCGCCTCGTCTCCATCCTCCTCTAGTTTCGGCGGCGCGCGCCACAAGATCTTGATTCCGGACTCATGGCCAACAACCAGTATCTCTGAATGCGAAGTTGGGCGCGAAGCGAGTGGGCGCGGGTAGAATTTGGATGTGTGGGTGTGCGCATGCGGGAGTTGGTACGTTATTTGCTTGAAGAAAGGCAGAGGGGATGATTTACGAGGTGGTGGTGGTGACATTTCGCTTGGGGTAACTTGAAGGTTGTTTGGGGAGACGTGTTTTCGTTTGCTCATCTGTTGATGACATGAGGCTAAAGCAGGGTGCTGTGGCACCCTCCACTGGCAATCACATCACGTCACTCGGGTTTCCTGTCTTGGCACGTGTTTAATTTTATTCTTCGTTTCGAGTTCGGCTTCACAGCATTGCACGAAGGACACTACCGGTAGCACAGGTACCTACTGTACGAGTACTATACGGTACGAGTACATAAAGAACGCTAGTACTGGTGCTGGTACTTGTACAGTTGGTAGTGCTCTCGAGAACGCACTGGCCCTTTACCCCAGCCCAGCATCCACTTCACCCCCCGCACATCCATCCTCTATGCAGTCCCGAAGAGCTCTACCCAAGTCCGTGGGCTAAAGAATGCGTATCGTTTTGATAGGGCGGCTAACAGTGCAGGGTGGTGATCAAATAGGGTGAAGTGAAGGAAGAAAAGAAAGAAAAACCATAGCAGTCTAAACCCATGCAAGAGCGTGCAAGGCAGTGAATGTCCTCTTTAGCTTAGCTTTTTGGAAACTCAGGGGTATTAATTTGTCCATTCGTGGGTTCGAGGGTTTCTGCGTCTATGCTTGGACTACCGGTAATCATGCGCTCTAGCGAAGCAGGCCATTAGAATAGCCATCCAGCGACACGAGCAGCAAATGTTAATTTATCTCGATCGAGCTGTGGGAGGTGGTAGCCAAGTCAATTTAATTGGTCGCTGGATTGGCTGATTGATATCGCGTGGGGCATCTTTCGGGTCACGTTCAGAATTCGGGCACCTCCCTGACCTGTAGGAATTTATAGAGTCGGTGGTGGGGGGAAGCTAGGGCTAGGGCTGAGTCTATCTTCGGGGATGCTCAGGACCGCGGGCAGTGGTTTTACTGCTTTGAAACCTACGGTACTTTTAGCAGAATATCCCGATGCCCGAGGAGAATCTGGAGATTATAACTCAGAACTTAGATGAGCAGCAACTTTCCTATATCCATAAGACTTTTCCAGCTTGCCACCCAAGTACTGATCAGACAGTGAGAGAGAGCCGACCTAGTTGAGTTTTTTTTTTTGCATCTTCTAAACGTTCTATCATACCCAAAGAACTCATCGCAGCCCTCCCGAGATTGCGAAATTAATTTACACACGTGACTTCATTCAATATTGGATTTTCGCTGCCAAGAATTTCAGCTCTGTAGCTGCTGAGACCTCGTAAAACCGGGTCGTTCACAAGGAGGCACGAGTATCCAGCTACGGTACCGGTAGTAGTCTAGTCTAGGCCATACCTAACGAGATGAATTTTGGTCTTTCCGAATATAGAGTTAAGAGGTCCTTGTCAACCTATTCGCAAAACAGTACGAGGCTGGTGACAACTTCCTGGCACTTTAAAACTCTGTGTGTAAACTGGTTGAGGAACTGCAAAGCGAGTGATGGTTGGCACTTTGGTCTTGGCGCGTTTTCTGAGGATTTTGGATGGGGAATCGATTGACTTGACGCTTTTCTAAACTTCAACCCCACAAGATTGCTTTCCAAACTGGTCTACAATTCCTTAATAATCCGTGGGTTCTTGGGGAAATATTCCAAAGAATTTTGATAGCGAACAACTCCCCATGGCGGACTAGAAGGGGTGAGGTGGGGTGCGTTGAGGGTCCTACGTGAAGATTTCCCAAGCTGTATTACTTGTGCCTGGGATACTTAGTACCGGTAACTCGAGTATCTCATTATGGCTAGGATTGAATCGGGTTACTGCTACTGTACTTGTACAATGCCTGATGCGATAACGCAAACACGATTTTCGAGTAACCACTCATGGGTGCAAGCCGGTGGGAATTTCCCGAGTACGATAACATTATGATAATACAGGCACAACACTTGCTCCAACTCTGAAAATAGGTGGAGCAAAATTCGAAACACCGAACAGCATCCGCTCTTCCAATATGTACATAGTACGGCACATTAGGCAACAAACAAGTATATTCCATAGAAGAAACATCGAAGGCCCGAGGCACACCCGCCAACGCTGTTACCGCCCGCAAAAGGGGTTCGGAAATTTCGCTGTCGTGAGTGTCCGCTCCATAGTCGCGAGATCGATACAATCCCGGAACTCGCATTTATGTCTGATGATGGAATAGAGATTACTCGGCCACGACGGCCTCTTCGGTAGCGGGAATTTATTCGGCGTGCCCGCAGAAATGGATCCGCCCTCGGGAGTGGTCATTTTCAAAAACGGCTCGTCATCAGATGGTTCCCGCGGGGCCACTGCATCCGGTGTGATGAAAGTGTGGTTGCGGAATCTGGGGAGGGGGAAGTCGTCCCTCTTTTCGTCTATCCAACCGACCATGCCACCGTGCAGGTGCAGCTTAGTCGCGTGTTTTTCGAAGAGCGGGCCCGGGGTGAGGAGGCGCTTGTTCGAGGGGCGCGTGGTGAACGTTATCTTGACTGAGTTCTCAAAGGTCCGCGCTAGGCCTGTCAGTCCATCGATCAGTTGTTGGATGTCGTTAGATGTGCACTCGGCTTTGTCCCCCCGCAGGGCAGGGAGGGCACAGGCGTCGATGGAGTCGATGACGAATAGAATGCTCGGGATAAAGCGGAGGATGTCCTCTAGGATCTTGATAAAGTCTGGGACTGTCCGTGCTGCTTGGAGACGGTCCAATGGTAGAGTGTTTCGCTGCTCCAGGAGTAGGTGGGGGTTGTGTTCTAGGACGTGGAAGACCAACAATTTTGCTACATCCACGGGACTTTTCAAATACCCGCACACCGTTTCATTCGAGCAGAATATGAATGCTATTTGGTAGCTAAACATGGCCGCTGTCTCTTCGAGATCCACCGCTAACCTACCCAGAGCTTTCGGCAGGCCGCGGAAATCGAGTTCCACAGGCAAACCCAAAGACCCGGATATTTTCAGGTTCTCAAAGCCGGGGGATTTGTATCCAAGGAGGGGTCTTAGTTGTCCAAACATATTTTGACAAAGTTGCTCCTGATCTTGCTTGCTGGCCCAAAATCTATTTTGCAGCTCTTTGCGTACGAAGGAAACCAGCAAAGTTAGCCATACTTCGGTTCTCCCAACTTTCCTTCTGCGAAAACAGACATGGTCATATCGTATATATCATACCAAAGAATTCCCTCTGCGTCATTTGTATACAATGAACTTGTCCATTCATGGATTTCCTTCTATCTGGCGCTTGTCCGGCTCCTACTAAAGCACTAACTCGTTCCACTTTTTTGCAGAGGTCTTCTATCAGGCCTCTATTCACTCTCGTGTCTAGCTTGTGCCCGACGTCTGCTAGATCGGCCACACGTTTCCCTTGCTCACGGATATCATCTACCAGTTCCCTGAATGACACTTCGAAGGGATTCCATAAGGCTCTGAAGAAGTGGGATAAGCGGCCGCCACGATACCAACTTGTTGCGCGCTGCAGGAATGATATTATGTGGGCGTAGAGCGTGGCGACTCCGATTCGCATCTCATCGCTGGGGTACATAATTGAGAGCAGGTCGGCCTGTGGAAGATAGCCGCTAATCCGTGTGAGGGTTTTTGCGACTTCTTTTATTGCCGTCTCATGGTTGATGACGAGCTGCAGCGAAGGACAGGTTGATCAGTAACTCTTGTCCCTGGGTGGCTTCGGGTTGCGTTCCGTGGGGAGTTAACTCACGACGAACAGAAGCTTCATTGCTCCCCATGCAAGGGAGGCATACTCTGGGTGGTGTTGAACAAGGACATCCATGACTTTGCTGTAATGTGTCACTCGGGTGGAGAAGCGCTCTAACCATTTCCGAGGCTTCTTCCAGCGAGGTTTATTTTCCCAGGTCTCCTTGGCTTTGTTTGTGTACTCCAAGACGTCTGCCATTGTGGTGGCCCTTTCAGGATCGAGCCGTTCCTTCTCACTTTTTGCCAGGGTTCCGTTAAAAATTTGGATAGCCTCTTCAAACGCCTGTTTTGCTGGACCCAAGGTGCTAAAAGTCCGGCCACCATGAATCAACAATATGAACTCTTTACTGAAATTAATGAAGATATTATGATCTACGATACCTCAATTTTCCCGGATCCGCCCACCAGTCTTTGGTAGCATGTCTTTCTTCATCACAAACATCAGGGACCGGTATTATTAATCCAATCTGCCCCGAACAGGTCTCCTTCTCCTCCTCAAAGGGTAGCGATGTCCGGCGGGCCGGTACTAACGCGTGTTGGTGCTCCTGTTGTTGGAACGGTTGAAATTTCTGGTGCGATCTTAAGATCTTGGTACCAAAAGTCGAACTCATGATGTCGCTCGCCCCGAGGCGACCAGATGCCTAGATAACCAGTATTTATCTACGCTGAGGGTCCCGAGCCCAAGCCTCGCGATTTATTCCTGTCTCGAATGTCTCACACCCCGCTTTCTATTATCCCCAAGGGGGGGGGGGGGGTACGAGAATTACTGACAATGTTCCGTATGCTCGTTGGTTGCATTAGAAATAAGAAGTGTTTCACCGGTCTCTTGAGTGTGGAGTTCTGAGACCTGGTTGAAGTGCCACATTGGGGAGGGCTCAAACATGCGCAGTCCGACTGCATCATGATGGTTACAAGCTGCCGGGACAGCACAAGTACCAGGAAAGATATTTTCGTGCAAAGACAGGGATAATTTTGCTGCTCTATCTTCGCCTTGTACCGAAACATCTTGCCTGGGACTTGTACCTTGGTTTAATAAATCCCGAATATTTAGCTATAGTCATGTGCGCAGTTGAGCCTATGCCGTAGTATTTTTTGTATGAGAAGCTCTTGGGGCATAGTACTAAAGTTATTATTTCCGCTTGCCCAATAAGAGAGCTTTGGGGAATATACCGTACAATGTCGTACCGGTGGCCTTGGAAGGAAAGCCCGGGTGAGCAACACCAATCCAATAGTCGACTTTAACACAATGCTCCTGCGCCTAATTGCCATCCTTGATTCTAATTCAGACAAGCGAGCCTCTAGGCAATACCTGAATCACCGTATCGTCGATGGGAGCTGTGAGGGGGGCAGATGATCCAGAAGAATAATCAGATATTCAGCACCCAAAAGCACACTGATAGCTCCGCACCGCACTCTTCCGAGGGGGGAGGGAAACACGAGATGTGATATGTGGGGTAACATCTCCATGGATATGACTTTGGAAGATTAACGACCTTGTTAGGCCTTCTCCTGAATACTGACCTGCCCGAAGAAAGCCTGGGCGGCACCGCCCACAGTGCCGTGCAGCCGCGTCCGTAAAGGCTCCGCACCTCCATTTCACCTAAGGAACAACACCTGTGGCGGGCAATGGAACAACGAGAGCCCTTTAAATAACTGTTTCTGGATATCCCTCTAACGACATTACAATACTCTACTACGAACTGTTTTACTCAATAGTGGGAAGCGGTCTAACGAGTCCTTTCCAGGGGGTACTGTACCAGTTGCACTGTGGTATCATAAGTGGAAGTATACTGGATTTTGGGGGACGAGGCCGTACTGATGCCCTAGTGCCCCGAAGCTAAGACCATGCTGAGGCGAGACACAAAGTGTATCTACGATCCGAGAACGATGGATGATACAAGCACGTAAGCAGATATTTTAGTCGATGGATGGTGAAAGTGATTGGGTAGGGGTAAGTGGATCTCTGTACGGTATAGGTACTGTGGTAAGTTGATCAGGAGTTAAAGATAGCCTTTCCGGGCTGTCGGGGCGCATCTACAAGTGCGGCATAATACACGGATATTTTTTTGCACAGTATGGCGAAAAATGATATCACGTCGGCTTCCTCCGTTATTCAATGTCTTTGGGCGGCGGAACCGGGCTCCATCTGGAGGTGGTTTTCCTTGGCTGTGCGGAGGAGGGGATGAATGCGGTAAGTTAACGCTCCTGATCGACTCGGAGAGGTAGCCGGGATGTTTGCGGACAAGAGTCTGGTGTTCCACACAGCACTATTGTTGGAAAAGTTATTTATGTGATTTGTATGGGGGTTTTCAGTGATGCTGGGCGGGCCGAGGGCATGGTACTACCGCAGGTGCTACCGGTAGGTTATTGGATAGAAATTGGGCTTTTGGGAACAGATAACGGTGGTAAGCTTAATGAATATTATGGATCTGATCTGGGCTATCTGGATGGTATGTAACCCAAATGATGGAAAACATCGAGTGATGAACTATGATGGCCGCAGCTTGACCAAGGGCTTTTCTTTGCGCTGGAGGATTCATATGTTTCGCTTGGGGGCTGAGGATGAATCGATGCTGTCAGATGGTCCTGCGATCATAGGGGTGGTGTTGGCTGGTAGGTCTTAAGATGCCCCTAGCACTGGTTCGACGATATCCGTCGTTACCGGAACCCGTGATATAATGGCTCCAGGCTCTGGGCAATCATAACCCGCCCTTGTACCAAATGTGATCAAGGGTTTCTGGGTTGGGGACAGGTTCCTCCCGAGAAGGTGCAGTACGATTTCCCCGGGTAAAATTATTTGAATGATAGATTAGATTTGTCTATGGTTTTTTTCAACAAACTTAAGGTCATGGAAGAAGTCCTGGTTGCGATTGCGATTTGGGGATTCTGTCTGTATCTGTCGAATAGACAGCCCTTGCACTATGATTCTAGTCACCAATCTTAAGCGCATTGATAAAATATAAATATGGTGGAAGCGATCAGAGGGTTTGGGGAGGGGTTCTTTATGAGTGCTGCAAAAATCACTGGGGGAATTCTTTTTTTGGGTTTCTTAAAGGCTGAGAATTCAGCACCCCCAATTTTCCAAGGACCCTGTGTGGTGGGTGCGCTTTGGTTAACCGGCGCTTGAGCCGCCAACTCAACAGTTTGATTAGTCATCTCCGGGTGCTGGTGTTACCCGGCACTGCCTCCATTCTAAGACTGGAAAGAACTCAACTGAGGCTAGGTGCGGGTGATCTTTGGCTGCATACTCTTGGGGTTCATAATATCGCACAGTTCGTTAATCCGATAATCCAAGCTTGCAGAGAAATCCAGATTTAAATTTCCTTAAGATTTACTATACCTCTCACGTTCCTTAGTCGGTGAAATCCCTATCCGGTGAATTGGCTACGGCTCCCGCAGAGGTAAACTGAGCTCATAATATGCCTCGCTCCTATTCTCGTTCCCGCTCCCAATCGCCTCCTCGACATCGATACCGTCGCTCACACGACGGCCGCGATGATCGAAGGCGACGAGATGACCGTTCTGGCAGAGACAGCGACCGGGAAAGACGGTATCGAAGAGAAGAAGAAGAAGACGAACGACCGTACCGGCGAGATGAATACGACAACAGTCATTCAGAACGACGGCGACGACGAGATGGCAGAGAAAGGGGTTATACAGGGGAGCGGGAGTTAGAAGCAAGAGACCCAAGAGACAGATCAAGGGGCCCATCATCCTCTGCCGCCCCGGACGAACGACTGGCCCGCCGAGCTGCGGCTTCGACCTCGGGATCTGGAGCTCTCGAACCCTTGAAAGATAGAGAGGAAGCAAATTTCAATACCACCGGCCTCCTCGCCGCCGCATCAAACACTACGAATGGCGTTGTCCTCAAGTATTCTGAACCCAGCGAAGCACGAAAGCCCCCTGGCTCGCAGCGCTGGCGACTTTTTGTCTTCAAAGACAAGGATATTGTTGATACTATTGACCTCAATTCCTCATCCTGCTGGCTTATCGGGAGGGATAGGGCTGTCGTGGACTTGCCGGTTGATCATCCTAGCTGTTCGAAACAGCATGCCGTCATACAATTTAGGTTTGTCACAAAGACAGGTGAGTTTGGGGATAAGGAGAGCGGGGTGAGACCGTATCTGCTAGACTTGGAGAGTGCGAATGGGACGGGGGTTGCTGGAAAGAGGATTCCGGAGAGTCGGTATGTGGAGCTGAGGGATGGAGATCTGGTTACTTTTGGGCTGAGTACTAGGTTTGTTGGGTCTTGTTATATTTCTTATGGAATGTGGCACTGACGGTGGGTTTAGGGAGTATGTTTTAATGCTTGAGAAGGACTAGATGTGGATAGAGGAGGGAAATGCGGCGGGTTCGGTCTTTGCTTAGCATTAGGGAGTTATTTTTCGGACGCTCAAGGAGCATTGTAAATAACGTATTGTAGTTGAGAAACCGTCAAGGATCCGTTCATAGAGTCCTGTCCCTCACTTGGATGTAGGGGCTCATTAAAGACCGGAGGCCGACCTCAAATTATTTTGGGCGATTTGCTGGCCGTATGTTTGTGCAGGTCATTGTTTTGTGAGCGTCGAGGGTTGATGTGCTGGGAATGGGGCCCGGTTTTGGCGGTTGCTGTGGAAATGCTGGACTCTTCTTGTCAACAACCTTCTGCTGCTACACAAACCAGAATAGCGGTGGGTAACATCGGATGTCTCTCTCCGGAAAAATTGGATGGATGAGTAAATAAATAAAAAAAATCCCCGTTTTAACCAATTTGGCTGTCTCTGTCACTGACTCAATATCATACAATCGTTCCTCAAACCGACTTACCGGATATCGCTGCTCGAGCGAGGAGCACATTCAGTCTGAGCGCCATCTCCTGCTACGCTAGCATTCTATTTACAATTCAACCTTGTGCCTCATCGTTTGGGGCCTCGATTTCCCCCTATAAACTCCACCATCAGGACCCAAAATGGCCCTCGACGGGTCCGGAGGCTCACGCGGACCGCTAACAGAAGATCAACAGGCTAATAATATCGCATCCCATTCTCCCAACTTATCCTCGACAAACGGTTTAGAAATTACTCCAATGACGAGCCCCGGCCGTGATAGCTCTAACCAGGAGGTTGACGTAGGGGATATGAGTTTACCGGCGGAACAGCGCCGACATCTGCTGGAGCTGGAGAGCTCTTTCAAAATCGATTTGGATCTGCGGACTACTCTAGAAGAGGGATCCAGCACTATTTCCGGGCGAATAGGAGATATGGGACCACCTCCACTTCCGCCGGCTGCCGTGCCCAGAAGGGGGTTACAACGCACACCCAGCAGTGTATCGAATCATCGCAAACTCAGATCGGGTGCGGCGACCCCCACTACCATAGCCGGTAGCAGGGAGGATTTGCGAGGGAAGAAAATTTTGGCCGACGCGGAGGAAACGACTTCTCCTTTCGCGGATTCAGGAGCATTTTCTCCTTCCCAGACCCCTATCCCAACCAGCGAAACTGACGGCGAACCGAATTTATCCAGCAGCCCTACCCTTGCCGCGCAGGCGAGGAACAACAACAGGAGCTCTACCAATCTGGCTGCTGCCTTTGCGCCCGGCTCTTCGCATGAACCTTCGCCAGAGGAAATTGGACTTGCTATTGATAGACGACCCTCTACGGTTTCAACGAGGGGGGAAGGGACTTACGGGTCATTGGGGAGTGAGGGGGCCACGTCTGCTGCTAGGCCGACTAATTCTGTGAGGGGGAGGGGTTTATCGAGCAATTCTTCATCAAACCTAGCCGGCGGATCTACATCAGGAACACATCGGCGGAGGCCGAAATTTTTGCGCTCACGGCAATCATCGCAGAGATCTAGTGTTTCTTCAATTGGCGATACGGGTATGGAAGCTGGCGACGACGGTGCAAGCGCGATTACTACTGTCGAGGGTGGTGGTGTCCTTTCGCGGTCTGCGAGCTTGGGATCTATTGCTTCGGGAATTACTGGAATCGCTGGTGCAGGAAGCATCCGGGGTGCGGAAGGGCTGTTCGCCAACATGCCAACCGCCGCAGAGCGAGCTTTGGCGCGACTTGATGAGGAGGAAAAGAATTCCATGAGAGGTTCGGTTGCCGAATCTAATGAGGGGAACGGCCCTAATGATGACGCTATTGCGGAGCCCACTACCCCCAAATTCCAAAACGCCCCTCCCCCCCCTACGGATACTGCCATCACTGCACAAGTCAAATCGGTACATGTGCCCGCAACAGTAGCTAGGGAATACCGAGCAGGGCATCTTGCACCGATGCAAACACCCGGAAGTCCATCGAAACGTGGCGGACCAGGTACTACACCAGCTCCAGGACAGGGTAAAAATATGACACTGAAGGAACAGAGCACTATCATTGACAGATTGCAAAAGGAGAATTTCGACCTCAAGATCAAAGTATTTTATCTCAATGACAAACTGGAAAAGCAGTCTGATGAAGGGGTTAAGGAGATGATGAAGGAAAATGTGGACATGAAAGTTAAGCTTGCTGAGGGGATGCGCGAGAGAAAGTCCCTGAAACGGAGGATAAAGGAACTGGAGAAGAAGATCCAAGAAATGGGTGGCGAGAAGGAGGGAAAGGAGGATGGCGAAGACAACATCACTGAGCTCTGGGAACTTAAGGAGAGGGTGGAGCGATACGAGGTTGAAATAGAAGAACTTAGTCGTCGAGAGAAGGAAAGGGAAGCCCGTGTGAGAGAGGAAATTTCCCGCAAGGGAGCCGCCAGTGGAGAGCGAGCCGAAGAAGTCGTTAGTTGTTCACGTTCCTTATTTTAACAATACTAATGTGAGGTAGGGAATGCTGAGAGAATTTCTCGAGACAGAGACCGCCAGGAGGGAGAAGGTTGACATGGAAAACCGCCGCCTAAGGGAGGAAATCTGGAGAATGAAGAATGAGTCCAGCGGCCAGCCTCACCTCAGCTCTCATCACAGCATAAGCGCTCGTCATTCGTCCACACGTTCTTTATCTGAAAGAGACCGAGATGAAAGCCGTGAAAGGGGCCTTATGAACCAACTTCGGGTTGAGAACGATGAACTCCGTAGAGAAGTCGGCGCTCAGACCAGCATGCTCACATCCCGCAATCGTGAAAAAGACCGCTTGTATCAAGAAATTGAGGATCTCAAGCTTCATTTGCGCAATGGGTCCGGAACTTCTTTGGGCGTAGTCGCGGAACATGATCAGCATCCGCAACATCAAAATAGGGCAGCGTCTGTCATCAGCGACCGGATCCTTGACCGATCAGTTTCTCGTGCCGGAGGAACTGCGAGTGTTGCTGGGACTCACGTGAGCGTGTTGAGCGAGAGTGAGAGAGAGGATTTCGAGAATGCGAATGGCCAACTTCGTGATCGTATTTCTGAATTGAGGCTCAAAAACCAGGAACTCCAGATTCAGATCGAAAACTGCTATCGAGAAATCGATCAAAGGACGGAAGAAATGGAGAGGGTTGCAGTGGAGTATGAGGAAGAGTTACAGCTTGCTCATGCGGAAGTCCAGGAAATGCAGGCTGAGCGGAACGATGCATTAAGGATGAGGGAGGAAATTGAAATGGATTTCGATCAATTGAAGGAGGAAGCGGAGGAAGAAATCCAGAAACTAGAGGAGGAGCTTGATATCAGGTTGGGTGATGTCGAGAAATTGGAGGAGGACGTCAGGTGCAAAGAGGAAGACTTCAAGGGCCTTCAGCAAGAAATGAGGAACGTCAGTGACATTGTTGTCAGGCTGGAAGATGTGCACGAAGAACATGCCGGCGAAGTACGAAGGCTGGAAGAGAAGTTAGAGAGTCTTCAGCGCACTCTGAGGGAGAATGAGCAGGAGATGAGTATTCTCGAGGGATCCCTGCGTGAGGCTAATGAGAAAATTGAGAGAATGACCGTCCAGAGTGAAAGCGCCAAGGGAGAGATTGCATTCTTACGTGAGGAACAGGATGCAGATAAGATCAAGATTGGGGAGCTCGAAATGGTCATCAAAGGCCTCGAGAAGACGGTTGAAGAAGAGAGGGAGAGAGTCGCCGATACTAGGGAGAGGCTTGAAAGTGAGAGGAAAGATCGCGAGAAGATGGGAGATAAAAGACATCAAGAGTGGGAGAGGAAGGTCAATGAAAAGAGCCAAGAGGTGATGAATGCGAAGGATGAAGTCAGGAGGCTGAGAAGCAAGGTTAGCAATAGAGAGGAAGAGGCTAAACAATGGAGAGAAAGGCTTGAAGAGCTGGAAAGAGCTCTCAGGGAAGCACTTGGTGATCTTTCAGGAACTAGGACTGGCCTCTTTAAGGTATTTCCCGCTTTCGAAGCTAAGATGGAGGTTTTTAACAGGATGCAGTCTATTGTGAACCTACAGAGCGAACTGGAGAGCACGCTTGAGGAGCTGGATTATACCAAGAATGAGCTTGCTGAGAAAGACCGCGTGCTTAAGGACCGCGAAAACTTGCTTGAAGGCATGGTAGGTTGAATCTCCTTTTTCGGACTTCTGCCGGGGCTAACCTCTTTAGGCTCTTGAATCCCGGAAGCTCACAGAACTTCTCGACAAGGAGCGTGCTGGTCGTAAATCTGATCGTGCAGCCCTCGAAACTCTTAAAACCACTCATCATCAAACCCGCCATACAATCACTCAGCATCAGACCCAATATACAGAGCTCGAGAAGACTCGCAACAAGGAGTCAAAGTCAATCCACCAACTGGAGCAGCAATACCGTGAGCAGCTGGCTGAACGCAATAACCTTCTCACGCAAATCTGGCTCCGGCTGAGTGCTCTCTGTGGCCCCGACTGGACCCACAGAAACAGTCTCGTCTCAACAAATACCAACAACGCTGGCGGCAAACAAAGCATGGAGGCTGCCGTCGTTGGCGCTCTTCCAGGCTTCCAAAAGAACATGCTCCTAGCGGTAAAAACGATAGAAAGCATAGTGGCCGGCTTTAAGACACGATGCAAAGGCGTCGAGCGCGATTTGTGGAGAGAATACCAGGTCGTCGAGAATGCTCTGGAGAGCCGTACCCGTCGTTTAGAACGTCTGGAAAGTCTCGTCCGAGGCGGTATCGGCGAGCAAAATGGAATGCGAACAGAAGTCGCAAAACTACGCACCGAAAACCGCTTACTGCGTGCGGAGCTCAACGTAGTGAAAAATGAGGCTTCGTCGACAACCACAACCACAACCACCACAGCCGTATCCTCAAGCCAACAAGCTCCCCCCATCCTCCACCGTTCAAAAACCTCTTCGACAGTACCACAGCAACCACTGAAAGAGAAGGAAACCTCAGCTCCTACGTCCACCGCCATCACACGCACTAGTTCCGCGGCTAGTGCCCCTCAACCGACTGATCCTCAAGACGTCAGTGAGAAGCGCTGGATTCTGCGCCTCCGCGAGTTGGAGAAGCGTTTGAAGGCAGAGCGCGAGGCGAGATTACTAGATCGCTCGGCAGCTAAGAAGAAGGTTGAGGAGGCGAGGGGAGCTAGTGCCGAGTATAAAGCAGAATTGGAACGGGAGAGGGCGGTTAGTGGGTCTAAAAGGTAGTGATTGACGACTAGATGGCAGATGGACGGAGGTGGGGACTGATGGTATAAATGAATGAACGGTGTTGGGCGTACGGGTGCTTTTTTTGTATGATAGGCATGGAGGTCGTGGGAATATTAAGCTTCGTGAGCTAGAGTTCGGTGTCATGGGATATCACTCTTCACCACGTTTTGAGTTAAAATGATGGTTTAAGATAAGTTACATAATATTGTCATAATATTTTATCCGTTCGTGACGCCCTGAAGATGGGACGCAACGCCCTGAACGAGGTTAGACTGTTACATGGCGTAAGGGAGTGGGAAGCGGGGACAGACGTAGGAATTAATCAACAAAAACGCACCAAATAAATCAAAATCCAGAAACCCCAATCAACACCCAACAGCAGGGAGACGGAACTGAGAAAAGTAGGAGATATTCCTAATAGCACGGTATACTGGACACCCCCTTTCTGCGCTGAATCTCGGAGTCTTGATTTTGGCGAAAATATTTTGCAGCGAGTATTTGACGACATCCACGTACAAGTACAAGATGGATCCATTTCCACGCCTGACCCCTCTCCTCATGACCAATGGGTTAGTACTCTTCTGTTATACGCTCATCGGTGCACCGGTGCCTGACGGCCTCCAGTCGTACTGTGCATCTGGAGCATGCGACATTCTCTTCTCTTCTCTTAGGGCTGTATCTGCTCATGATGTGTTCGGTGCTTGATAAAGTGGTACCGTTATCCCTAGGCGAAAATAGGGTGGGATGCAAATCTACCTGTCGGTGGGATATGTGTTTGTTCCTAAGGGGTCGTGGTGATATGTGAGGAATATATCATACTTGACTAGCATAGTGGTTATAATGCTGTGGATCAATTAGCTCCCCCCCGCGCGAAGTGCAATCAGAAGGAACCTAGGACTTTAATTCCCCTCCCCATAAGGAGTTATTATAATATTATCATAGAATGACCAATCATGTGGGGTGGGAGGGATCCTGCCCTGTAGGGGCCTGAAGATTAGCTCTCATCAGTAGGCGTGTAGGGTAAACTAGACCCGGATAGCATCATATCATAATATCATATCGTAGGAGCTGGCTCTGAACTATACATACTTTGGGTATGATATCATAGCAGGAAAGGGGGGGGAAAGCGGGCTGGAGAAACAAGGGATAAGCCCTGTTCCGCGAGTACAGATGTAAAAGTAGTGCGATATTATCTGAATGTTTCATTGTTAGAAAACACTGTTCGCGGTGCCTCTAATTTTTTTTTTATACCACATGAGAAGGCGAGGATTAGGAAGGAAGTCTGATAGAAGATGTAGATAAATAGGCTCTACAGCCTCCGGTCGAGGAGAAATCGGGCAGTGTGGAAATTAAAGGTTAGAAACACGGTCGCTCAATTGGCTCGAGCACACCGAGCTCTCCAATCAAAAGCCCCAAAAGCCCGATCCCCGTTTCCCGATTTTTTTTTTCTTTTCTACCGGGGGCTGTACTATGCCGTATTACCTACCGTGCTTGCGATGAGTGCTTTCCCCGGGTGAAACTATTCGAGTGAGATCTTGTGATTAGGAGGGCGGGATTCAACCTGCTGGAGAACATGGTTAGCATGTTTTTCGTTAATTCTTAGGATTTTGCGTTTCTTAGCGTGGTAGGGTGCGCCGAGCCGATACCCGGCTGAGTTTGGGCATCCTAGAAAAGTTCATCCATCGATCGGACTAGGAAAGCACCGGTCTGGGATGGCGCTCGAGGTTCGTGAGTTCTTGAGTGCGCTGGTCCCGATGGAGTACTAGTAGAGAGATTCGCTTATGTTCGCCTAGATCCGCTTAGATCCGCGTATCTAAGTGTTTCCTTTGACTCGGCTTAGCCAATGAAGGTCCGGATCTTAGAAGGTGGGGGCAGCGCAGGTCGGGATGAAAACAGGCTAGCTTGGCAGAGCAGAGTTGGGCCGATTCTCCCACAGTTGCTTCTTAGGGAGTATTAATTTAATTAACCGCTCAGATGAGATCGGAACCAATATTGTGAGTGAGTAGAGTGTGTTACGAGGAATGTTGTGGCGGGGGGTATTAAATTTTTGGTGCCGTGGCGTTATTCGTTGTCTAGGGCGATAGAAAAGGGGAAAAACAACTAACGTAAACATGCGACCGGTACAGTACTCTACTGCACTTCGGGTTCGTTCTCGGGTAAGAGGGATACAATAATAATCCTATAATACTTGGACTACTATCACCGCAGCCGTTCCTGCTCGGGCAAGACTAATCACGATCTCGTAATGGGTAACCATGATGGTAACATGTGAGTTAGACTTAACTTCTGTAAGGATGAGCCAGTGCCCTTTTGTCCGTCAAACACAATGGGGACGGGGCCTGGCCAGCTGGGCGGCTGTCCGCCATGCTCTTGTTCTTATTGTACTGGTCCTTGACTCTTGCTCAATTTTATGTGAGGGTAGGAAAGTAAGTGCCGTTACATACCTTACGGTATGTGCTGCAGTGTTATTGTGCGACATAATATTCAGGACATCCATCACCTGCATGATCCAAATGTCTTACCCCTCATGTGCTGTGCATTGGGGCCCCCCGTTTGATGCGAAAGGTATTTATCCCGTACTCATATGTAATAGTGCGGAGAAGAATGTGAAACAGAAAAGAAGTGAGTGGTTGATCTCGGTTTTCACCTTCGAAGGGATCTCCGGATTGGGGTATTGGAAGAGTAGTGTATTGCTGACTGCCTCGCTTTCGCTTCGGGTGCAACCTCATTATGATACTTGTACCACAAAGTGCGGGTTGGGAAAATTTGCGAAGTGCAAGTTTGCCGGCTGGGTGGGGGTCGAGATGGTAGTAGGCGGACTCGGGATAATAAGCTGGCGGATTTGGCAGGTTCGGGACGCTGGTCACTAGGGTAATGCAACCGGAATAACTCCCTAGCCCCGGCCCAACTGTGCTCGAGAGATTTAGCAACGGTGTGGTTTTGGGTTACCAGTGATAGCTTTTCCTTGGCTATCATGAGCCGAATTGGAGAGATGAGCTGATCCCCATCAGTTCCCCAGCAGGACCTTCGGTCTCCATTCCCCTCCTCACTACTCCCTTGAGGCTGCAGGTTTTTTTCCATTTATTTTTTTGACAAACGCCCTAGGATCTCGGTTTCGTATTCCACTTTAGAAATTTACTCCAACATCCTTTGTTTTCTGAGAAGCATCCAAAGACAATGGTCCTTCTAGGCAAGTATATAAGATAGCTCGCTATGAGAGGATGTAGATCCCTCGGGTGTCCTCCCGTAACTCTTTTAAAGGGATCTCTCTTGGCCTAGCGAACCGTGCGCCGAGTTGGGTGGCTCCATCTTGCTGTTAAGTGCAAGTCTGGACAGCTGGTTACGATGTACTGTACTGGTTCCCTCGCCTGGTTACTGGAGACTAAGTGCAGTCTTGCGGCTAGCGTTATGGGAGTGTCTCAGCGCATTCCTAATTGCTTATTCTGCTGAAATTCCTATTTCGGAGTGTAACCAGATTGCACCCTTATCGTCCCCGGGGAATTACCATAATTCGCTACTCTATCATTGGGATTGTGGGCCCGGGAGGGAACCGGTGCCGCCACCTGGTCTGGCGTGGACTATATAAATCAGCACATGTCTCTATTCTGCTCGCACATTATATCCATCTCTCTGGACGTTCCGGGGGATTTCAAAAAGAAAGAAAAACCCCGCCCTCGTCGCGAACCTCGAGTTTAGCCTTCAAATGCCCGTCACATTCAGTCTATTTGTTTGCTCCGGGTTCAACGTCCTCTGTTGCTTCAGATCCACCGATAGCTCAAGGGAACTTGGGGAGGTCGGGGGGTCGCCTACTATAACTACGATTGAGCCTTTGGAAAGGCCCATCATGCAATTGTCATCGGACCCTCCTGCGTCGGTCACAGCTGCTCAAATTCCTAGTGAGCTTCCCTCCACGACCGGTCCGGGGATGGATGGGCATTCCTAGAGAGAATTGCTTGATGCTTGGTATGTCAATCCGATGCTATGGTCATGAACAAGGCGCCATTATTGAGAGTGATTCGTGGACAGAGTTCTTCCACTAATAGTGAATAAAGTAGATGAATTAGAGAGAAGTGGGATGCCATCAGGAGCAGAGACTTGAGCCATGAGTCTATGGGTAGGAGGATATTACCTGAGCCTACTGGCTTTGTCGTCGCCTGCGGTTTTAGAGTTATTTTGGGACCTGGGGTAGGGAAGAGTCCATTCCAAAAATAAACATAAAACAAAATAACGACCCATCTTTGAAGCTTCAATTTCGGAAACTGCTGTCCGATGGCTTGTCTTCTGACGTTCGAGTGATATGTGTGATTCGTGCGTGTGGAGAGAGCGCAATGAGGCGAGGTCGGACTAGAAGCGGTGGTTCCCCCAATCAGAACCACCCTCATCGGTCAAGAAATACAGTAGCCTCATCGGCCAAGAAATACAGTAGCCTCATCGGTCAAGAAATACAGTAGCCTCAACCTGGACCAGAAATTTTCTGGTTGTCACAATAAAGCACGTGCATGTCGGGAGCGTTACCCTTGCTGCATTTTTCCAACACAAGCTGTCGAGACATTCGGTCCGTTTTAAAATGTGGAACACTAGCCTATCTGAGGAATAAGGTGGGAACCTACGCATGCACACTTTCCCATGCCATGGCCATGCTCCTGTGCCATACCAGTAGTATTATTATTATTATTTTAAATCAGCAGTTTATTTATAACAAGTACAGAAAAATCCATGGCATGCACCCTAAGGCATGGCCTAAAAACCCTTAACAAAAGAAATCCAACCCTGTCCGATGCCCCTCAACCTATAATCTCTCCGGTACGGAATCAACCACACATCCTCCTCCAAAATAAGAAAGGTAGACAGAGAAGAAAGACACCACCAGTAGACGCCAATAACAAAGGAAAAAAACAACTCCCTTCACCCTATTTTCATGTTCCAGTCAATGAACGGAGAAGACCCTTTTTCTTGTTTTAAGGATCAAGAAACCTTTCTTTTTCATAGCCTTGGCTAGCTTGGAAGTACTGGCGCAGGAAGAGATGGTAGTGCCCTCAGAGGATATCATTCCAGCACTCTGTATGAAGCTCCAAGCTCAGCAGCCAGGCAGGATCATGAGAAGTGTTTGTGGTTGTGGTGTTGAGCCCGGTTCTGACCTTCCCAACTAGGAAGGCAAAAAGCGGGGTCAGGGAAGTAGT